TGCTAAGATTAACCATCAGGGTGCGGGAAGGGAACAGGCACGTCGGTTAACAGATAAGTTAAATAGAGACAAGCTGCTGTTTGCGCTGTTGTAGTTTAATAAGCCCGAAGGTAAAAGGTGGAAGATGGAGTTTTGCTTTTGCGACGTTTTCCTACTGCTGAAAATTGAAAATATCAAAAAGAAGAGTCAGACCACAACAGATATGAAGGGGTGGGTTATGCTAGGAATTGAGGCAGGGAATAAAGAGACTGATCTTGTGGAAGAGGAATGAAGTGGATTTTTGTGTTTTGGATACAATGACAATAAATATTATGCATCCTGCCTAGAGAAGAGGAATTTGAGAGGAAAAAAGCAGTGGAGGATGCTGATGCGTAAGCAGGCAGGGTTGAAAGGTAGAATACTGAATGGTAGCGTGAAATTCTGTACAAAAACAGTTCTATTTTAGATGTAGTAACTTTAAATTAAAAGATCTTATAAATTCCTTCCCGATGAGATACCATGCCAATGGACTGTGGTGTACAGATGGTGCAGTTTATTTACTAACTGTATTTTTTACGTCAGTTGGCAATAGCATTTTAGTAGTACCTAAATATGCATCATAAGTGCCTCTCTCTAGGCATCTATGCTTGAAAACTCAGGCCATGGTTGCTTTGAACTGGTTCAACTGCTATTTTCTTTAAAACCACATAGTATAGCTTTATAACTAGTAAAATCAAGAGGGACTATATTTCTCTAATTTTTATTATGTTTCAGTCAGTAGAGGATGGGTTTGGAGCATTTGGTGATATCAAATCAAAATTTGGAATACAAATAGTAAAATAATGAACCAATATTATTAATTATTATAAAACACTTGCTCTCTGTATGAAATGGACTAAAATCAAGAGCTCACAAACGTAATAAATGGACAGATATCACATCCAGCTTTCTCAGGGATCCTATTTGTTTTTAATATTTTTTGTCAATTCTAGAATAAACAGTATACTACCTGAGGGTTAACCTGTGTGTCGCTTAATGTTTGTATATAATCTCATGCCAAAATATTTTGTACTTATTACTTCACCACTTAACATGTCTGTGCAGAACACGTTCTAATCTATACAGATAACGTGTAGAGTGAAATTTGGCCCCAAACGCATTTTGAAAAAGTGCACTGGAACATAATTCCGTAAAAGCATCCACTTTTAGGTCAGTTCCTCTGTAATGGAACTACTTACTGCTTACAGGAATGGTGTTCCCTTTTGAACGCTTTGCTGAGGTAGGGCCTTGAATCTATGCACTGATATTTTCTCTAGAATACAACAAACTTGCCATGAGGTTTGTAACTTCACAGTTTTTCTGGTATTTCCTTCATCAGAGCAAGCTGTGTCTTTGAATGCTATGCTGGAGAAAATAATATTAGACTTTCACTGCAAGTGGGTGTACTGCAGCTGTAT